AAGCAAAGGGAGAGAGAACGAGCCGCACCGCCCTGCCTCCCAATCACGCACACGCGGGGGGAGGGGGGCAGCCGAACCAGACACTCCTCCCACAATCACGCATTGGGGGAGAACCCAGCGCAGCGCCCGCCCCTCCGAAGGCCGAAGGAGGCAGGGCGCCCTGCTCGGCGCCCGGCGCCGCCGTGGGGAGCCGAGCGGGGGCGAAAACCGGGGAGGGGTAGCCGGGCTCCCGAGCCCTGGCACTCTGGCAATGCGGCGGCGTGGCTCTCGCCCGTTTCATTTTCAAAACAACCTTGTGAGGTAGGGAAGGCTGGAAGGGAGCGCCCCTCGAGATCACGCTGCAACTGGATAGCGAAACTGGAGGGGGGAGGGGCTCACCTGAACCTCAGTCCAAGCAGGTGCTCCTGAATGTTTTACGCAGACAGTAGGACATACTCCTTTGTGAGTGTGATTTGTGGAGGGAGCCTGCTTACTGACCCCTGAGGGTGGGCTTGTGTACGGACTTCCAGTTTCTTGCATGTGTGAGTTTTGACCTTTAATGAAACCACACCCCGTGTAATTTTTCTGAGGAGTCAGTTCACACAGCCCTGAACCCCAAACTACAGGATAGTAGTCAGTCACAGGGTTTTGTGTGAATCCAGTCTGCATGATTAATAGCATAGTGTGTCATCAGGTTAATTTCCAAACTGTGGGTGTGTTGTGTGAACACAGGCAGTTGCTAATCACCAAGTATAAATGAGTTGAATTATGTACATAAGTGTATGAATAATTCTATAAATGTCACCTTATATTTTGCTGTACTTTTGAAAACGTGAATGAACAACATTATGAAAATAATGTCTTGCACAAGATGTTGATGAAAGAGTGAAATTATCGGAAAAAGTTTGAAATAGGTTGAAATTATATTTGTAGTAATTTATTCACCCATGCAGTTTAATAAACCTTTGATATTGCCATCAATAAATGATGAATAACCCATTCAACTGGAAAAAAATACTTTGTAATAGTATATTAGTAAGCAGTCAGTTTGGCAGAAGCCATCTACCTTGTTTCCCCATCAGTCTCTGAAGTAAAACATTCTTGATCCATGGGAAAAGGTGTATAATCCTTTGGATCTGGGACCAGTGTTATGATAAAAGGTACACTCTTCTGTGCGTGGAGCTGGACAAACCCTATATTGACTAAATTTTAATTAATACTAAAGTAACAAAAAGTAGTTAATATGATTATTCCCAATGTATTTAATAATGTTCTCCTTCTGTCAGTCAAAACATTGCTGTTTAATAATAGCATTTGCAGGGAGGGTGAAGGTGACAGCAGAATCTTAACACCTTGGGACCATTGATTCAATGGAAGAATGTTCATGTGGCAGCATCTCCCAAAGAATTAAAAAGGCAAGTATTATTTTCCTTTGAAAGGTAGGAAGAGACCTTATATTGGTTGTGTTTACTTGACACATTGCCATAAAATAGTTAACTGTCTTCTAGCCCATGGTATTACAAACTCATTGTGATTAGTATGTGGGTAAGTTGACCCTTCTCAGTATCATGCCCCCTTTGTGAAGCTTTCCCATTTCATTTCTATCTTTTTGATGCCAAAGAGATTTGTATTTATGGGGCTTTTAAATGATTTTATTGTATTTATTTATTTATCATATTTATATAGCTGCCCATCTCACACAAGGCGACTCTGGGCGGCA